ATGTCTGAAGAAAAGGAACACCCACCCCGTTCGGTGTGCGTTTGAACAACCAAATGACGACCAAATGGGGTCATGGGTGATACTCGCGCTCAGAGACCCCTTTCCTTCAGGTGAAGCCGCACATTGACACCAAGAGGGTTCCGATTTCCTGTGTCTGCCCTTCAGCCTTGCCCCAACTCAGAGTCTCTTCTCCTCAGGACAGGTTCTTGACTTCAATAGGCGAAGGCTTGCCGCAATGGAAGAAGAGCACTTCGATGTCTCCTCCTCCTTCGGCTTCTCCGAGCCGAGGCCGCGAGGGGTTTCGGAGGTGTTTTGCGAATCCAAATCACGAGCTGTGCAAAGAGCAGCTTTGGGACAGATATGCAAAGAGCATTTGGCAGAAGGATGGGCCGATGTAGCGATGTAGCGATGTTGCAGGAGGTAGACCTTCGGCTGATTCGCTCCCTCACAGCCTCCCAGCAGGGTTTCGCTGATGCTCCTAGCTATCCCCAGGCCTTCCCGCAATTAGACTTGGATCGTGGTGTAACAGTGGTGTAGCAGTGGCTACAAGTACTCAATAGAAAGTTTATCAAAATGGTGGACCCCTTTTGGTTGAACAGTTGGCCTTATGAGGGATCCCAGATTCGGAAGCCAACCATTCTGGAGGACTGATTCCAATTTTGAGACACACCCAGTCGATCAACGTTTCTTTTGTAGGAACCACTCCCCGCTGCCGTCGAAGTTTTTTCGGGATCCCTGCGTCCAATACGGAGACCACAAGGTCTCATGAAACTGAGATGACGCCGTAAGCTGGCGCTTGCGAAAGGCAATGCCTTCCGGGCCAAGTGGAGAATCTGAAAAGGTCAGCAAAGAGAGCTAGGAGAGGTATTTCTTTGGTCCATGGAGATCGTGAGAGAGGCCCAATGGGAGGAGCTCTCATTGGCCAAACTTACGGAAAGGGATGGGCGGGCCATGCAAGGCACGTTGGATTTCGGGGTCCATGTGTCAACCCTTTGGCCTTTGGGGCTCCCCCCAAAAACACGGACCTCAAACGGGCCCCCCCACAGGTGTCCTTTTTGGCTGTTTTGGTTCGTTTCGCATAGATGGCGAGTTTCAGAACGTCTACCAGGGCCATCAATTTCCCCAAAAGACACCTAAAACTGGCCGCCCCTTCAGCAAACTCGGCACGATAGGTCCAAGATATGTGGGGTGGACAGCACCGACCTAGCTCAGGCCAGCGAGTACGGAGGGAGGGGGGCTTGTGATACCCTCAGGACCATGAAACAGGGGGTTTGAGGAAAATGGTCCAGGACCCCCTTGTCAGGTTTCATGTTTCTGGATGGGAGGGTATGAGATGCACTAGGAATATATTTGTTTGCTGTACAGAGGGCCAAGGGACGGGGGGCTTGTGTTCTTGCAACGGAACGGCTATGCTGAGTACAGAACCACCGGAGAGGCAAATTGCAATGGAATCCACCCGCGGTGCTTTGGCGGTGTCCGCGCACAATGGCTTCGAAGGTTTGGTGAGCGCCATTTCTGCTTTCAGCTTGGACGATCTTCACGCAAACTGTGAACACTGAAACTCGTGTCTTGCACGGCTTGGTGTCAAAATCCAGCGGCAAGAGTAAGCAGAATGTAGAAAAACACACTGCCAGCCTTGAGTAACCGTATCGCCCATTTGCCCTTGTGCCCTTTTGGGTTTTCTTCAGTGTTCCTTTTTACCAGCACCAAGCTATATTGTTGAAGGGGGTCTACTCGCGCCTGGCCCTTTCAACCGCTTCGAGGGTCATTCTGACAAGCTTCCCCATGTCTTCCTCAACATCACCCCAAAGACTTACTCAAAATGCATCGCCGTCCAACCTTCAAAGGGGGAACTCATGGGTGTGTCTTCTTCGGGGCCCCAAACCCAGGGGTACCTCCAGAAACCACTCCGGGCCCCGCAAAAAGACGAGCCGCGGAGCCGAGCTTCGGACTTCCCGACGCCGCCCGCCGCGCCAGGCCCGGTCCAGCTTCGGCCAGGCCCTGCGGCGGCACTTGGCGGAGCTGCAGAAGCGGCTGCTGGCCGAGCCCTTCGGCGGAGAGCGACATTTTGGAGCGGAGTCCCGCGGGCGGGCGCGAAATGTGAAATGCGCGGAATGAGTTTGCTTTTTTGGGTTTGGGGCGGGGGGCGGGGACAGAGTTTTTTTTGTCCCGGTGTAGGGATGGTGAAGCTGGTGAGAGTTTGATGAGCTATTTCACTTGCGCTATTTCTGGTGGTTTCTGCAAAATGCATGGGACGTGCACTGATGGCCGCTTCCAGGAGGAGCGATCGTATTTCGGGCCTTCTTTTGGGGTTGGGGCGCAGCCAAGAGTTACCATGGGGCTGGTTTCGGGGAGGTTTTGGGCTGGCTTAGAGCTGTCTTACGGTCTTGGGTTGGGTTTTGGTTGGGTGGCCTTAGGGTGATGTGCGGCACCCAACTTAGCTGCGCTGAGTTTCACCAGCTTAGCTGCTCCAGCATTGTTCCCCACAGATTTTTCGGGTTCAGCACTGTGCAGCGGGCTCTAACATGCTCTTTGTGCCCCCTGCCCTTTGCATACACGTTTACATGGGTCTTGAAATAGGGGGAATCCCCAAAATGGGGGCTTTCCTGTTGGTGTTCCTTTCAACCAACCCCAAAGGTACTCAGAAGAAAAGAAAAGGGATCGCATGATTGGGCTTGATTCGCGGAATCCAACGGCACGAGGCATGAAGCGCTGTTCAGCGATGATCACCGCCACAGGCAGGAGTTGGGAGCCAGAAGCGGCAGGGAGATCATTGGCAAGCCGCAGGATGAACGAATCTTGCCTACCGTTGGCCGTAGGCATTTTTGTGGGTTGAGCCTCCCGGAGTTGCAATCGAAACATCTCATAGACAGGTTCACCTTTCTCAGCCCATGGTGGTGCAAGGGATGCAGTTTCTTCGTCCAGGTCGAATGAATATGGTAGGACATTAAGATCATTTTAGCATTTTGCTCTCTTCAAGTGTGGTTCTTTGGGCATTCCAAACATGTGATGTGAGAAGATATGAAAAAAGACATCGGCAACCATCACGGCTAATCGCAAGGAATCCGCTGCGGCATGCGCGATGAGAATCATTCCTGTTGTTCGATTCCCACGTACTCAGACCCAGGTATCTTCTGCATTTTCACTACCATTTCGCACTCGCTGCGAGAGATAGGCAGAGTGGAGCCACCTTTATGGCTGTATGGAAGCAAAGCTGCCAAGTTGACACCCAATACCCCCAAGACACACCCGACAGAAAAAGACAGCATGCGGGTCGCCATGCGCCAGCTTGGAAAAGCTGGTCGAGAGCCTCAAAGAGGAGAACGACCGCCTGCGGATGCAAGAAGACAGCCATGCCAATATTTCCTCACCTACGGCCTCCAGCTACAAGGCGACGGGTCCGAGAAACCTTGAGACTTCGGAATTTGATTGTTGAAAAAGAGGAGCATGCTAGGAACAGGCTAGAATAGTTGGCAGGTTGATAGACCTTGAACTGCAAGGTTGCAATGCAGGACATGTCTGTGGCGTTTTGCATAGGAGTCTAGCTGGATACTAGCGGCTTGTCGCTTTTGGGCAAGTCTTCAGTGGTCTAGGCATCCTGAGTTGGCTTGCAAGTGACCCTTGAACAGACAGGTTATTTTTCTTCCCGGTCACCGGTTGCGCCTGAAGTAAATCGCAGGAGGAGCGACTCGATCGAAACACGAGAAGGTCCACAGCATCCTGGCCGCAACAGCTCGGGGTACCGTCCCAACCGAACCGGGACCTCCGGCCTTGACTCATTGACCATTCCTCGTGTTTTCGGACAAACCTCAAAACTTGATCAATGCCAGAAACTGACAATTTGTTTTGCCCTTTTGGGTTTCCACCATTTTCGCTTTCACCTAGCAACAAGTTAGCTTTTGCGGGACTACGTCCAGCCAAGTCTTTCCAGCGGCGAACGGCTGGGGATAGAGGAAGCCACAAGGACTGCCTCGAAGCCAAAGTTGCGTTGGAGCCACCGCGCAGTTTGGCAGCTTCGATGGGCCTAGCAACATTTAAAGTGGGATGACAGAGGTTCCCTTCTGGCGAGAGCTATAGCGATGCAACCGACTGAGCGAGCAAGGGACTTCACATTTCGCTGCTGTCTGAACATGGATACCTCAGCAACATCAAATCTTTCATGAGTCGTAGCTAGATTGTGTTGCAGGTGGGGAAATGTCTACTCATGCAATGCTGCATAACATTAAATGGCTGTGGGTCAAAAATGGGTACCCGAAATGGAACCAATTGGTAAATGGAACCTAGTTGAATTTTAACCCATACCCACATGGTCCCATGATCGCATATTCGCCAAGTGCAGCACCACGGTGGTCAGCAGCTCACTTGATGCGTCCTGACAAGTCTTCTTGACCTCTCTTTCTCCCTCTCTGTCACACACAAACACACACACACGTACCCTCCTCTTGGTCTTGGCTGCATCCGGCGAAGATGACACCTAGATGCCAAAAAGGAACCGCCGCCCGCCAAGACCATGGCATAGCAACCAGCCAAGATGCTTGTCACTGTTACTGTTGACGGAAGGAATCCCTGCAACGCCTAAATGACAACATTCGCATCACACCCTGCGCTCCCAACTGAAGATCGGCTTTATTGACATGCGTCGCCGTTCAACGCTGAGCTCTCGCAGGGTTCTGACTGCGCTTTTTGTCGCTAGAGTCATGCCGCAATTCATGGATCTTCCGCATGTTTTGCTTCAACCTCTCGATTTCCACTGAGGACAGTATTGTTGTAGAGGCGCCGCATGCATGGCGAATTGCCTTTTTTGTTGTTTTGTCAGAAAAATAGATGGCCCTGGTTTACCTGGTGGTTTAATCATCTACCACGGAAATCCATCTATTTCCCCCGAGGACACCTCTGCAAACTGATCCCCGTTCTCCTTGCTTCCGCGCCCAGGCCTCTCGGAGGAGTGTGGCGCCTGGGTTGCAAAGAAGCCGAAGAAAAACCAGAGGGTTGGCAGGCTCTGTGGTTGTTAAAGCCGTTTTTTTTCTCCCAGTTTGGGGTCCCATTTTGGGGTAGGTGAATTCCCCACCCATTTTAGAACCTATTTTTGTGGGGATTGGGATGTTCACTGGTTCGGGCTATTGACCCAAGGCTCAAATCTGGCGTCACTTTCTCATGTTCCCAAGATCGGAATGCTTCTTTGGAATCCAGTTCTGCCAGAAGGTTTGCTCATCCGCGTGTCCCATGCGACTTACTTGTGGAATACGTGCACCAGTCGTGTTGTTGTTCTATTCTGTTTATGATAGAACACTGTTTCACACACACACACACACATTCTGCTGGTTCGTACAGCGGCTTGAACTTTCGGCTTGTCCGGGCTACCGTCAAATTCGGAATGGAACAGAGGGCCTGCGCAGCAGTGTCCGACCCAAGTGCTTCTCAGTTCGCAACGGAGCTTTTGAGCTCAACTTGACTGCGAACAGCAAGCTGAAGCAACAGCAAGTACCTATAAACTTGAGGCTTTGGGTCACGCAGTTGCTGCTCATCGATTGTCATTTGACTCCCAACATTTTACCAGCTACGACCTGGGGAAACACTCAAGACTTCAAAGACCACAGCTGAGAAGCAAAAAACAATTCGCACGCTGAGCTTTGGCGTAACTCACCGATGGAGTTGCCCGCCGGCCAGGCGAAGCTCAGATCCAGGCGCGAGAGAAAGTGGTTTTGGGCACTCAGTCCAAAAGTTGCCTCGCTGCCTCGCTCTCCGGCAATCTCCGGTATGTTTTTCCTTAGGGCATTTGCTCCCTCCCCAGAAAAGAATAAGAGACTACTGATGGTTGCAAAGGGCTTGTACGGCCTACCTACAGCTCTTGCTTGCAGGCAAGAGGTGCAAACTGAGGATTGATGCGCTGTTACAATGTGGCCGAAAGAGGATGATGTTGAGTGACTTGCTGTTGCCTAAGCCATCTGCCGGAAGCAGACACGCAGCGGTCCCTGAAAAATCCACCTCTTTGAGTGGGTCAAAGGGGCTGGTCGCTCCTCAGGCTCCCGATTAGTCGCATTGGAATGGCTGGCAAGTTGGAGCTGTTGCTCCCTCTTTGTCCTTCCTCTTGTGAATGATCCGGGCGAAGCCCAACGGCCTGGGAGGCGCTCCTCGTTCAAGGGCATCAATCTGAATGATCCCAGGCGGGCGGTTCACCGGTCGGCAAGCAGCTGACTGGGGTTGTCTGAAATTGGGGGAGCCTCCAAAATGGGTGGTGTTCCTTTCGGCTCCCTTTGAACTAGCCCTTCAAAACGGGAACCCTTGACAAACAACACCCGGCCGGTTTCAAGGATTTTCCGGGTGCAGCGCTCTGAAGCCCTGAAACTGGACACCATGAGCGCTGAAATGGTGCTCTTGGTACAAGTGCATTGTGCCAGATGGTCGACAATGCCTTCAGAACTTCGGATTGCGCTCTTTCAAATGGAAGAGGACTGTCTTCCGAAGCCTGGCTTCCATGATGGGAAGGGCTTTTTTTTCGTCCCACAAGTTACGGATACTCTTTTCAGGTTTTCAAGGGAGCCAAGAGGACAGCCGTCGCCCCCCTGTTTTGGGGGCGCACACGCAAATCAGGCGTTGCCCTTGAGGCGCTCCATGCCATGCTCCGCCAGGTCTTTGCGGGCCCGTGGTGCTAGCACTGTCGACGAAGAGCCAACCCTCAAAGAGGCGCTGAGGGGCATTCGCGAAAATTGGGGGGCATTGTGTCTGCGTCTTTTAGGGGTTGAGAAAAACATGGTGCGGGGGGGGGGGGGGGAATGTTTTTTGTTCGGTCGGCTTGGAGAGCCTTTCTGGGTGACAAATCTCAAGCGCTCCAACACCGCCATGTGACAGGAGGAGGCGACGCCGGAGAGGGAATCCAAGGAGACCTTGTTGCGCACCGCGCTGGCAGCCTGGAAAGAGCCGTGGCCTCGGGGACTCGGGACTCGGGACTCGGGACGTGTGGGGTGGCCTTAGGCTGTGGCAGTTTCACACTCGGCGTTTTAAAGAACCATGGATGCACTTGGTAGGGATGATTGCCTCAACGGCTTGAGAGCATCATGGAACAGGTCCTGATCGAAGGTCTTGCTGAGTTAAGATGGGCACATCTCCCAGGTACACTTTTCAAGTCATGGACGACGACGACGAAGAGGAGTCTGACCACGAGATTGAGGCGAGCCAGTCAGTACTTACACGAGCGGCACGGGGAAGGCCCGGTGAAGTTCGGGCCAGGCAAGGCCCACGCTCCCGGACAGTGGAACCAGTACAGACGCGGCCAGCACCACCTGGGGGCATGCTGTGCCAGACACTTGACCGTACCTTGACATTGTCTTTGCACAGCCCTCATTGTAAATCTACACGCTGTTGATCATGCCTTTGCCCTTTTTTGGACTCTTTCATGAAAGGTTCTTCGAGCGTTGACTTGTACCATGGACTGAAAGCGAAGCGAGACACCAATGACCAGCGAACATAGCAGCAACTTGGGCGGGGGAGGGCCGGATTTGAGCTGAACACGACTCAGGCCATGGATGGCGATGCACCTGGATTGTTCTGGGCGGGGCTCAAAATAACACTGGGGTTACGCAGCCTTTGGTCGCTGTGTCCATATATCAAGGTGCCATTTTGGCGGCACCAGCTTGTGAGCCACGCCCTGCTGTATCCTTACTATTGTATTTTTGGACACAGTCACCACTTGTGGTCCCTGGGTCAAACTCATTGCGCAAATTTTCGCCAGTCGCCGATTTGGTGAGCCTTCACGTGAGGGCCAAAACTACATCAGTTACGAAAGTTGTGAGTGCTATGCCGCTACCGGCTGCTCAAGGCGTTTTTGTGACGGATTCCTCACCTTCCATTTGCTTAAGACTATTTTATTTTCAAGTGTTGGCTTTACACGGAATCTATCATTTATTCCTGGACATATTTTCTCATTTTCTCTAGGGCGCGGGGAACAACAAAAAAACAACAAATGGAGCGACGCCCCGTGGGGCTGCGTCCGCTCGAAGGCAGTTCGGGCGGCCGCCCACAAGGAGTGGCCGGAGGACTGCAACGGCTCGGAGTGGCAGGCGCCATGCGCAGAGAGCTCCACAACATGGTTGCTTCAGAGAGCCATGCCCATTCCCTCTATGGATTAGCCACCATAATCTCAAGTGGTTGAATTGCTGTTTCAGAAGAGGCAACCCCTTTGTTTTGCCAGGGGTTGACAGTTGCTTCTTGGCTGCTTTCAGCTGGACTGTGCTGAGACCTGCGTGACCCTCGTTTGGCTTGAGCCTGCCAGCACCTGTTCAAACATGTTCGAAACATGATTGTTTGCACAATGCTACTTGGTTTTATGTGCGAAATCCTGGATGTTTTAGCCAATTCTGCCGGACGCCCCACGCCACGGGAATTTGCATGAGCCGGATATGCCCCCCAAACCCCAAGCCGCGCGCGGAGGCTCTGACGCGCGACTTGACGCGCGCCATGTCGGGGGACCTGTCGGCAAGCAAGGCCAGGTGTTGTCGCCAGTGGGAGCCGTTGCAAGTCTACCGGGTTGTTGTTTGGTTGGATACAGGAGAGCTTATGAAGGGAGTGGTATGCCATCCATCTTGCTACGCGTGGGGTTTTGTTTCTGTTTTTGTGGATGGTATCACACTTGTGTGTTACAAAGCAACGACCAGGTGGGCGTTAGGCCCCGCTTGAAGCCTCAAACAGTGGCGAGGGTTTGCTGTCAAGCCTGTGGTGCCCTTGGATCCACCCTTCGGTCAGGCAAATGGGTGGCTCGTCCTAGTTTTTTTTAGGCTGGATCCCCCAGAATGGATCTCGGTTTTCCTTTTGGTTTCTTTGCAGCAAGAAGTGGGAGCCAAGAAAAGACGAGCCACACAAATTGGTTGCCATTTGTTGCGCCAAGCACCTAAGCACTTGCGCACTTGCGCCAGGATCCGGTGGCTTCGAAGCCCTTTTTCAGGCGCAGTGAGACATCACTTGCAAGCCACGAGGGCCGTCCTGAAGTTTGTTTGTTCAAAGGATAAGAGTCGATGTGAGCCAAAACTCCATGGCCCCTGAATAGTTGGTGAGTGAGAAGATATCTCCATCGCATTGCAGCATGAGAACGTAGCCGACCCGCATGACTCGTCGTTCTTGGTTCCATTTGTGTCCGCGCGTTCTAGCCCATGCAGGAGGCTGGCTTTGCAAATCACGACGGTAGGGTGCCGCTCTTCAAACCAACGTTCGCACTAGAAGCGTCTTCAGGTCAATTTGGCTAAAGTTCAACATAAATAGATGGCACCGGCTTGACGTTATTCTGCCCATCATTTTACCAGCGCCATCAATGTTTTTAAAAAGGATGCGTGCGTGTCTTGAGGGTGATATCGTGGAATGGCTGAGCATGGCCAGTCACTGTCGAACACTCGCGAAGCCAGGAAACTGGTTTCGTCTCCAGCCTCCAAACGGAGAATGGTGTGGGACGTGCTGGGACTGTTTTTGGTGATCTGGGCCACTTGGACAGCAGTCAAATGTTGCAAAGTTTGGGCAATATGCGCAAACACCCGTTGGAGCCCCGCCGCGCCGAGGATATCTTCGCAATTCCGATGAACGCCTTTGAGCCGCTTGGCTAGCTCGGGAATTCTGATCTGAAGCTGCCAGCGCGCAGATGAGTTTGCTAAGACACCCTTGCGAGTCCACCCCACATGGAGTGCGAGAATTGTGTCCTGAGCGTCAAGCCTTCACAAGCTGGTCAAGGTTGTATGAAACTCTCCTACAAGGCTTGAGGTTGTCCGATGGAACTCAGACATGGAAGACATCAGACATGTTGAAAAGAGATGGCACGCGATATACACAGCGGAAGTTGGGCTTGGCGCACAGGTCAACGGATGTATTTGCTTTGTATATGATGAGCCGGGTGCTGAGTCAGACTGGCAGAAATGTATCAGCGACCATCTCGGGCGGACCAACGTCGCCCGCATTGCCGGCTGAGGTTTCATAAGCACTCTTTTCTGGACGATTGATTTTCCGACCAATTTCTTCAACGGCCGGGACCCCGGGGGTTGAGTGGGCACAGCAAAGTCACCCATGTTTGGCCTGGAACTTAAAGATCTGTCCCTGAATGTGACACCTGCCTTATCATGATGGGCCGTGAGCCATGTCCAAGCTCCCAGACTGGATTTTCGGGTGGCAATAGCTGCAGACAATGCTGAGTCGCTCGCATAGTCTGACAAGCACAAGCTGCTGCTTGGCTCAGACGCAACCGATCGAACAGGATGCAAATTAAAACGCTTGGCATTGTGCAGCAAACAAACCGATCTGACTTAGACTCGAAGTTGCACACATGTGCCTTGAGCTGCTCCGGGGAACTTGACTCAAGCCGATAAGGCCAGCATTCGCACTATGGTTTGTTGCTGTCTTAACGGATCATAAGCAGCTTCGCAAAAAATAAAAAATGCATTTGTTGGAGTGTCAGACCGTGCTGTGCTTGTTTACCTGTGCGATGTTTCTGACGCCCTTCATTATCCTCAGTTGTCGGAGGTCAAAGGAGGAGTTTCTGCCATGCATCACTCCGCACACACCACCTTACAAAACCTCGAACAAGTTTGGTTGGCCACGCCATGCCAGTGCTTGATAGATGCTCATGACACGATATATGTAAATATGATCCATCAGCACTACGGTGCTGCGTGGCTCATTTCGGCGAGCCGGCCTTTGGCTTCTCACGCGGCGCCTTGTGGCTTTGTGGCGACACCATGTCGCGGCTGGCCCCGACGCTGAAGGCAAGGCTTGGGGCGGAAGGGGGGGGGGCTTTGCCTCAAGCAGACCGAGCCTTCGAGCAATCTGGCTGTGGGTCCAAAACATGTACCAAAATGGCACCTTGGTAAATGGAACCAAAGACTAAAACCTGCGTAAGCCTTTCTCTTTAATTCTGTTGTATTTGTTCACTAGTCTTCTGCCCATTTTCCAGGCATCGGTCAATCTTCCGTTTGTTTGGTACAAGATGAACCCTCGATCATGCTGGAATTTCCCTGCAATTTGGGCGGACCCAATCTCGCTGTGTTGCTGGCAGACAGCGCGCATCGCCAATCAGGAGGTGAGAACTGATTTCAAGCATGTCCCTAAACCGTCAAGAGCACGGCCTAACAAATTGAAACCTACAGGAGCACTTGCATGCACTTGCCATATTGCTGTAAAAGCTCTAGATACTACATCACTCTGGGTCTTCCCTTTCCAACCCCGGGGCGACATTGAATCGCACATGTCTCCATCGATTCGAAAAAAAGAAAAGAGGCACGACCAAAATCTGGTGATCTCCAGGTTCAGGCCAAGTCCTGCGTCTTCAAGCTGACGATCTCGCTGACGGAGCTTCTGAAGAAGCACCCGGAGGCCGGTCAAATCGGCGTGAGCTGTTCAAATGCTACCCCTGTGGTGCCCCTTCTTCTAAACTTGCTGTCTTGGGATGACCCGTTTTCCATATATTCGTGTGTATCCCCCCGTCTCTCGTAGCCGAGCATTGAAGTCAACCCCTCTCCAGAGCCGACTGGTAGGTTCATTATTTCTGTCACCTGCTTGAGGAACTTTCTGTCCCTGCGGGCATGCTTGCGTGGCTCGCCTGGAACCCAACGTGTCCAAAGGGAGCTTCATCATTTTTGGCACCCGAGATAATCATTTTAAGCCCCAACTTTGGAAGATCCCAACAAAACCAACAAGGGATTGTAAAGGCTAGGGCCCTGGGTTTGGGTTGTGACCATTCCGTAAGAAACACTTGAAAAATTCGTGCAGGGTTTTCATTCGATGGTGGTTTTTCCAAAGGTTCCAGAGATCTTTGCTGTATGGACAGGATCAACAGGTGGAATTTTAACTTGGCTTCTCCAAGCAAACAAAAACCGGATCTTCGGGTGGGATTTCCACATTGTCTCCACCCGTAGTTTTCCAAGTTGGGGTTCTCTCCAAGCAAACTAAGAACGGATTTTCGGATATTCCATTTTTCTCCACTTGTGGTTGTCCAAGTTGAGGTTCCCAAGCAAACGCATGGTCGGTTTTCTCCCAAGGGGCTGGTGGATCGGATTCCCGCGGCGCGGTTCCTTTGGCGGAGGTGGCGCTGGAGGCCCAGGGCGCCGCGGAGAAGTCGCTGCGGCTGGTGGCCATGAGCTCGGCGTCGGTGCAGAAGGCCACGGGCTATCTGCCAGGCGGGCGGCATGGGGTTTGGGTGGAAGGGGAGGTGGGGGGGGAGGTGGGTGGGGCACGTAGAGCGGGGGTGGCAGTGGAGGGGGGTTTGAGGGGTGGTAGTGGAGGGTTGGGGCAGCAAGGCTTTAGGGCTGGTTGGCGCTTTGGCGGATGGCAGGGGGCGGGAGGGGCCCCAAAAAAGCCGGAAGTGGGAGGGGCTGTGTTCCAACTTCTTGGAATTGGAGAGGGGTACCATCTTTCAGAGGGAGTCTTCCATTCACGTTGAGTGTAGTGCGTGGAAGCTGTTTGGCTTTTATCTACTCTTCAGTGACGCGGCCACTCTAACGTGCGTATGTAAGGATGATCCTCGCTTATAGTTGCTGCTTGTTGCAAATGATGAATTTAGAAACAATGCAACCATGTCACCTTTTTTGGGATGTCAAACAAATTAGTATATGCGGGAAGTGTGGGAAACCATTGTTGAATAGAGCTAATATTTTGTTCATTGCTGCCTTCTGATTTGCTTTTGAGGTTGAATGCAGGGCTTTTGCCAGCACGCTTTCTCCCTTTGGTCTGGTTGTGAGATAGATCGTGTTTGTAGTTGGGAGTGGACGTTGTGGCTTTGTTGTGGACAGTTTCACGGCACTCTAGCTGAGTAGATCGGTGTGCAGATGTGTTGTTTGGAAGAAATGGCGCACCAAATGCTGGACACCGCTGCCATCCAGCCAAATAAACATCCGGGCGGTGACCAGCCCCAGGAAGAAACGGGCATGTGTCAAGGCGAGAAGCATCCCTTAGTTTGACGGCTTGGAAAAACAGGCAGGAAACTGGCAAAGGAAAGCAACATTTGAAGCATTTTCCTGGCTAGCTGTTGCCTTTTTAAGACATCAAGTGGGTGTGTATTAAGCAAACCCCACCCACCCCCCAAAAGAAGAGAAAGTGATAATAATGATAATAATAGTAATAATGGTAGTAGTGGTAGTAATAATAATCACAACAACAGCAACAGCAGTAATAATAATAATAGCAATAATAAAAATGATAATGATGACAATTAAAAATAGATAATACCAACAATAAAAAATGATAGTGATGATACTAATAACAATAACAATGATGATAATGGTAATAATGATAATAATGATACTGATAATAGTAGCAGCAATAATGACAATAATAACACTAATGACAATAATGACAATAATCATAACAATACTAACAACACAAACAATAAATACCAATGATACGGATAATACTAATAAGAATAGTAATAACAATAAAACAACAACAACAATAATAACGATAATGACAATAACAACCACACTAATCACAATAACTATAGAACAATAGTAACAGTAATCACAGTAATAACAAAAATAACAACAATACCAATACTAATAATAACAACAGTAACAGTAAGAACAACAATAACAATAATAATAATGATAATGGTACGAATAATACCAATAATAACAATAATTACAATAGTGACCAAAATACTAACAACAATAATAACAATAATAGCAACACCAATATCAATAATACGAATACCAATAATAATAACAATAATAACAACAATATCAATAAAACATACTAGCAACAATAATAACAATAGTAACAATAGGAACAATAATAACAATAATAACAACAAAACACAATACATACTAATGATACGGATAATAACAATAACAATAATAACAACAATAGCAATATTAATAATGACAATAATGACAAACATAGCAAGGTGTTCCTTTTGCTTGTCCTTCAAACTCACCAAACAAGGGGTACACACAGCCGGCCGAGGCTTCGGGGTGCTGGGCCTCCGCCTAGACCGCTTCGAAGCTTCAAAAAGCGACGGGCCCTCCCTGCTGCGCCCGGCGCACAGCGGCCCTTTTCGAAGACGTCGGTGGCACGAAAAAGGTTTCATCAGCGATTCGTCGAACATATTGAACATTTTTGGAGCTTCTTGCCAATCCAAATCTGTCTGAATTTGGGGCCAAAGCTGAGTGCCGGGGGCGTGCAGTGAATGGACTCCCCGATGTGCCATGAGGTGGCCGTGTGGGGCGGCTACTGGACAGCCCCTTCCCCAGCGAGGACACTGTCCAGGTGGCCGGGGCCCTGGGCTCCCAAGATCCGGAGATCACTGGTGCTCGCTGGTTTTGGGGCTGCTGGATCTGGGGGTTGCCTGAGTTGGGGCTTCAGCTGAGAGAAATTGTGAGAAGCCAGCTGCATATAAGCATATCGAAGTGGACCGATCTTGGAATTGTGGCCGCGCCTTGCTCCGACAAGACCGCAGAGGCTCTGAAAGTGCCTTTCCGCAATCTTCTTCTATGGTTTTCGTGACCGCCGGGGTTGGTTGCAACCCGGGATGGCTTGCTTGGGATGAACACAGGAGAAAGGAACGCGCTGGAAGAGTTGACATCTGGAGGTTTGACCAACGCTGATGTTTTGCCTGCTGCCTGAACGCACCAAAATACAGGCAGTGCCTTGGTTTTTGAGTCACGAGTCGGGGCAGACCCCAGCACCTGGCCAAAGTCTTAGTTGCCCTATGCCTAGCATTTGTCCTTGGTTTCTGGATCTTTTGCGCAAGTGGTTTCAAGTGCTCTCAAACCGCAAGCATGGCCACATTGTTAGCACTGGATATGCCAGATATGCCCTTCCGGCGCTGAGAAAACAGAGCCACTGGGTGTTTCCTTTGCTTCTCCCTTTGTGTCCTCTTTTGCCTCTTTTGTTTTTGTTGCTATTTTGTTTGTTTCTTCTTCCTCCCCCTTCGATTTTTTTTGTTTTGGACATGGACGAAGCTCGTTCAAGCCAGCGCTGGCCCTTTGGCCCTCTGGCGGTTGGCGCACACGCTGGCTGGACAGCCGATGGTCGAGT